AAAATAGCTTTTTAACTTTTTTTTTTTTTACAATTTGATGTGTTTTGCCAATGGAACTGAAAGGAAGCTTAAAGTCTGGATTCCTTTTATTCACAGGTGAATGTAGTAATTAAAGACAAATGTTATGAGCAAACTGAGTGTGATAACCCAAACACTCTCACATAAAAGACACATAGCCTTTTAATTCAGCTATTGCTTCCCCATAAAAGGCTAAACCTTGAGTATTAGAACACTGATATTCTCTGTTCCAGTTTAGCTGTGTTCATTTGAGGTTAAGGAGATGATCCTGTGAGCTTGAATTTTTCCTTGTAGTCTTTTAAGATGTAAATTTTAAGATGTAAACAATATGTTTATATTTCTAGATATAAATTAATAAAGTAGTGAAATAAGACAATGCTTAAAGGTGCCTGGGCAGTCTGTGTCTGGGAGGAGTAGTAGTTCCTCAGAGAAGAGGATATGATGCACATCCTTCAAGCACACTGGCAGCATCAATAGGTCTTACTCTTCAAAATGATTCAGATTCTAAAACAGCAAATAATTTTGAATTTTGAGGTGTGTAGGTCTTAAGTACTCATTATTTGGTTTATTTGAATATGTTTTCTTGAACAAAATTAAACTTTTTTTTTAAATGGGTTACTCTGGTTTAAAAACTATTACCATAAATTATGTGATGGTAATGGAAAGACATACAAAGATGTCAAGTTCTTACTTTGTTTCTCCCTGAGCCTGGATCTGTGAGAACAGACTTAGAAAAACTAAGCTGTTTTATCTGGTATATGGTAGATTATCTTCAATAGCTACATAAGAGGGAACAAGTTGACAATTCACAAATAACTGTTGTTAGTGTTGACCTATGGAACAGATGGAAAACAGATTTTTGTTAAGCTGATGCTGTAAGATGGAGTGTAGCAAAGGAATTTGAATGTGAAAATAAATGTGCAGTTCCATGGTGACACAGAACCACATACTACAGCATATTGACATATGATTTACTTGTGTATTTATATGGGGGATTTATGCTGAACAGAGATGTTTATTGGAAATCAGAGGAACAGAAGTCTTAAAGATAGTAGCTTTTATACTGTTAGATTGAGATAGGTGCTGTAAATACTCATTTCCAAAGCATGAATCAACTCAAAGGTTCATGATTTTAAAATCCTTTCTCCCATTATAATTAATATTCAGTTGTAACAGTGTGATCTCAAATAATGTAAAATCAGCTTATCTTTCAGGCTGACATAAATTAAGAATCTTGTTTTGGTAAGCAGTCTACAGACCTGCGCAATCCTAGGGCTCATACATAAACTCTGAAATAAGTAGCAGTCAATGGATTTGATGGAGTTGTACTGTGAACAGATGCATGGGAACTGACCGTACAGGAACAGCAAACTGTAGACATGGTTCAGTATATATCCATATGGATTAAGTTGTTACATTTTGAGCAGTAATTTACTCTTGGCTTCTCAGGGGTAGGTGTTAAGATATTTTTTCCATTACTTTTTGTATTGGTAGCCTTTTAGATGAAGAATTAAATAGTTTGGAAACTTAAATGTTGTTAGGATCATTGATATAAGAATCTTCTTATTTAAGGACCACACCGACTTGAAAATAAGGCAAGCCTTATTTCCTCATTTAGCAGGAGGTTTGCTGCTAATGCAGAGAGTTGTCTGTACCAAGTAAAAAAACCAAACTGTTTTAATAACTCTACATTCTGTGAAGCATTCACATGACAAACACCTTTCCTTCAAAGTCAATGACAGCTCTTTTTGTAACCTTTCTTTGTATTGGTTTAGTAGAAATAAAGTAATTCTTATAATATGCCATTATAATTTGTATGCATGATGAGAGTCATCTATAGGAGACAAGAGAATTCTATGCATTTTAAGTACAAATTAGTATTTCTGTGATCACTGAAATGTTTCTGAGTCAGTAATGGTGCTAAGTCTGAGTTTCCTATACCACTGTCATTTTTATCTGTAAATGCAGATGTCTCCTTACCGGACTCTTGAGAACTGTGGTTCTCAGTCACTTTTCTTTTTCATGTTGGCTGTGAGTTCACTTGTACAAATTTTATCCACAACAAAATCCTTCTTCATGTTAGCAGCTTAGATATCAAACTATCTATGATAAAAGACAAGAATGGATTGCTGTCTTGGCTTGAGCTGGGATAGAGAAATTTTTCCTTCTTAGCAGGTAGAACAGTGCCGTGTTTTGGATTCAGTACCGGAATCGTGATGAGAAGAATCTGGATAATATACTGATGTTTTTAGCTGTTGCTAGGAAATCAAAGACACTTCAGCTTCCCATGTTTTGCTAGTGTCCAGGTGCACAAGAAGCTGGAAGGGAGCACAGCCAGGACAGCTGACCCAAGCTTGGCAAAGGGATATTCCATGCTATGGCTGTCATGCCCAGTGTATGAAACGGGGGCTTGCCGGGGGTCAGATGGCTGCCCGGGCATCGGTCAGCGCGTGGTGAGCAACTGCATCGTGCACGGCATGTCTTGCCTTAGGCTTTATTTAGCTCTTTTTCTGGTTATAGTCACATCTATTACAATTTTTATTCTAATAATATTTTACTGTTATTACTATGATTATATTTTACTTCAGTTACTAAACTATCCTTACATTGACATAGGAGTTTTAAATTTCTTTTCCAATACTTCCAGCAGTCCCGCTGGGAGGAGGGAGGAGTAAACAAGTGGCTGTGTGGTGCTTAGGTACTGGCTGTGGTTAAACCATGACAATTATAAATATGAGAAAGCAGTTAATGATGTTGGCCTTTTCCTGGTCAATGTGTGTTTAGGGAACATATCTTTGCTTAAGAGCTTTCAGTGTTAACCGAGGTTATCAGAGATAGAGTACAATTGAGTGCAAAATCAGGATGCCCCTAGAAATGTATGGATTTAAGATAGAGACAATGGAAATACGCCAATGGTACTTGGATATTGCAAGAATATGAAAAGTGGTGGGTTTTGCTAATCCCTAAAAAAGGTTTAAGGACCACAACATCAGCTCCAACTGGATTTTGACTGCAAACCCAATACTAGATTACTTTGAAAATGTCAACTTTCTGCACTCTCATATCAAGCAGTCCACCCAGTTAGTTCTTCCCTGCAGTGAAGGGAATTTGATTACACTGCAGATGGAATTATGGTGGTGCTAACAGTTACCAGTCATTTCTCATAATGAGATGTATAGGCATATTGCTTTAAACCCACCATGCACAAGTTTTCCTTTCAGATTTTTAATCTAACACAAATGAAAGGCTTATATTCCTCCATTACTGCCAGCTAAAGAACACTGAGAGCAAAATAAATAAGTGAAGAACTGACAGGAAAAACTTACTTGCAGTGGTGTGATGTTGTAGTAACAACTGGTACTAAGCCATAGCACTTACATGCAAGAAAAGTCACAGTCAAGTCCCTAATCAGAGGCTGAAATATTTTTTTTCAGGCCATTTGAGAGCTTCGTCAATAGAGCTTTCCCCATTTTTCTCCACAGACTTGAGCCCTGCAGGCTTGCTATTTGTTTTATTAGTACATGTTTACTGTTCAGAGAAAACATAACTTATGAAAGAATAGTGATCACATTATTTTTATCACACGGACAAATACACCTTAAAAAGAAAGTGTAATCATGCAAACCTTGCACTTAAAAGAGTTATATGGACAAAAATGACCCGTGGAAAACTATGTATTGCTTGTTTTTTGTTTGCACAAAAACTGAAACCAGGATATACAGCCTTAGGGGTCTGATCTGTAAGGTTCTGATTAAGTTTTCTAGCTATCAGACAGAGTTAATTTTGAAGTTGGGAAGTGATGAAGGTAGTAATTCCTCTTCTCCTCACCCCTCCTCCAACTTTTTGCAATTTTAGCGTTTGTAAAAATTGGGTTTTGTCATTCTAGTGAAAATCTGTAATTACGACTGTTGTCTGCCTTTTAAGGAAAAGATGTTTCAACTGACACTTTGGTAATTACCAAATTGGTAATTTGGTACTGCAGTCAGCACAACAAACATTATGGTTGTACATACATTGGTAAGTAAAGGATATGCCCAGTGCAAACTGGGAATAAAGTCAAACAAGGGAATAAAATAGGCTGATGTGGAAATCGTATCAAATGTTCTTGGCAAATTGCAATGTATGCAGCAGCCACTGCATGTTATTCAGAGCCATTAATAGGGACAGTGAAACAAGCCTGCTGTACAGGTGCTATATTTTGATTTAATAAATAGTCTGTACAGTATCAAACCATATAAAAATTTTAAAAACCACAATGAGAATTATTGTATTTTAAAAAAATTATATTGTAAATAGTCTATAATTAGGCCCAAACCACCATTAAAAAAGGTATGAAATATGCAATTTTTCAAGTGGAAACAAGGGGCACAAGAAGGGTTCCATAAGGGTTAATAAGAGTTGCTTTGTGATTTCTGTTTCCAGTATCTTCGTATACCTGGTAACCACACAGACCTCAGAGCAGTTCTCTTCATACAAGTAGGACATGAGCTAAAAGTATCATCACTCATTTCAGTAGGGAAGATGGGCTGCAACAAGGAGTAAAAGGCTATTTTAAGAGACAAATGTACAGTACAGTCTATTTATGTAAATACTTGGAAAATGCAGGAATAAAAGTGTTTTCTAACCACAGAGCTGTGAAAGTAGTGAGCCATATGGATCTATAATATACAGCAGAATATTTTGAAATTCTAAACCTTCTTGAAAGGAAATGGTTGTAAAGGTCTGCATCTAGAACAAGAGAAGTATATATTTTCAAAATTACTAAAATTAATATAACTTACTATTTTTAAAAGGCAGTAATCCTTTGCACTTATTTCTCCTGAAGCATAGAGCGAGGAACTGATCATTAAAGGCAATATAAATGGTAGGCAAGATGAAACAGATGGTTGTAACATAATTCTTGAGTCTTAACTGGCACTTAACACTAACTCTACTTTCAAACTGACAAATATGATAAGACATCTATGTTGACATACATGTGGTGCACTTAACTACTTTTATTTAACTGAGGTATTAAAATTGTCTTGAAAAGCAGACATCTAAAGAGAAAATGGTATGAGGAAGAGTAGTCACTGTTTGCAGTTTTCAATGATTAGTAGGTTGTTTTTTTACTTCCGATATCCTTAACTTATTTCCATGCAAAGTCTTTGTCTCACTCCTCCATTTGATAGATAGCTTGGAAGATGGGAGGAAATCCACCATTTTTCAGCAAGAATTAGTTATGAAGACTTGTTTTTCTTTTTAACTGAAGTATAATAAGCTAAAAGTGTGTGCATTCCACACACTGCTTATAGTACACTTTTAATATATACACTGTCATTGTACACAGGCATCTTGTATATACACTGATACCACCTTCCCTAGGAAATTAAAAGTCAATAGATAATGAACCTTGTGCTGTATCTTCTCTTCCTCTAACATATATTTCACAGGGAATCTCTTCCATCACCCTGTCTTCTATGACTTGCTCGGGACAGTCGTGCGCTTGTTTGAAGGTGTAACTACTTTTCTTGAATGTGCTATTAAATGTTTTCATTGGCTGAGGCTGCGCAAAATCATTGCGAAAGGGAAGTTCCATGGAGCTGAGGTTTGTCCTGCTTTGTTTTATATTAGAGGCCTGGGAGCCACAGTGGTGGTCATGAATGCACCTGGAAGCTGTTGAAGGGCGTCTCATTTTCTGATAGTTTTCAAGTTCTTCTGATAAATCCGCCAATTCTGCAGAAATTTCTTTGTCCCTTAGTGAAAACAGTTCATAATGTGGAGGATCAAATACTTCCTGGAAGCCGGTTTTATTGAAAGCAGTCTTGCAAGCCATAACCTTTTTGCGAGGCTGCTTTACTTGTACTAGAATTGAAATGATGAGAAGAACTAAAACAATCCCTGATGTGATGCCAATGATTGTTCCATGAGTTTTGGTGATTTGTTCAAACAGTCCAGTTTTTTTCTTCTCTGCAAAGAAAAAAGAGCATTATGATATGGCTTTTATTATTTACCACACTTTTGATCATGTATTAAAAACAAAGCAAGTTGTATTATGACTGTCATGGAAGTGCCATGTTAATGAAATGACTTAATGGTACTGGGGACTAGACCTGTATGTCACTGGGATTTATCATACTGCATTTGTTCAGCAAGTCTAATTCCCTGTCTGCATTAGTGGCTACCATATGATAGTTCAGTGGCAGGTGGAACTCTGCAGCCAGTGCATGCTGACTCGGCTGGGATGTGGCTTCAATCCTGAACCTATAACTGATCACCTCATACTCCAAAGTCCCTGAGTTAAATAGGCTTAAATTAACCTTAAATAGCTTAAATACAGCTACAGATGACGCTTCTCTTACCAGGATTTGCTCCTGCTAGTAACATTGCCACTGATGTCAGTAGACAGAAAGCTAGATTTAAAATTATCTAGTTTATCTTTAAAAGGGAAATATTATCATATTGATGATGTAAGAATGACCGTACTGCTTGTTTTCACATCTCTTTGGAAATTTAATGACTGTCTATTGTGTAAGTCTGTTACACCCATGTCAGCACAGGGAGCTTTAGCATAGATATATTCCAGTTTTAACTCTAGCAATCAAGTCAGTTGGAAAAATAAAGTTGGATGGGGGCAACCAACCAACCCAAATCATATGGCACTTTTGGCTAGTACTTCATATGAAAACACACAAGATGGCAGCATGAGAACAAGATGGTTTTCCATACTTAAATACTTATTTCAAGATTAAAATTTTCCAATTGAATTTCTGTTCTGTACAGGTACTTGTCCTAGGGGACCAAAATAATTCTACACTGAAGGACTTCATACTGTAGAAGAAAATGTAGCCTAAATGTTGCATACTATTTTCGGGTAACTGGCTTCTGACATTGGATGTGTTATGTGCTTAAGTCCTCCGCACACAGTATGTGGAGAAAAGTTATACACCATCACATGCTGTTTAAAACAATCCCTACACTAAACAGACTCCCATGGAACTGGCTAGTAAGAAGTTATGTCTGAAGTACTGCTCTACTTCACAACTTAGACTGTTTACTGTGAGTTACGTTTATACCTTTTACGTGAAGAAGAGTATCTCCCCTTGTCCTGTCTAACTTAGATCTTAGTGCTACCAGACGTTGTAGGAGGTATGAATTTCGGTGCTATGGCAGTTCTGTTATCTGCATCTAGGTTTCTTAATTCTTGGAAGATGCTCAAAGTTGTGTTGTCTTCTCCAGTCTCTTAAAAGAAGTTGCACGCAACTGACTTTTCTCCCAATTTTTGTCACTGGGCTTAGCCATAAGGTAGGTCACTGTGTTCAGACTTGACTAGCTATTAATATGGACTAATGAGAGCTCTGGGCATCTGCAGGAAATGAGTGCAATTGTGAGAAGCATCCCTGGTAAGGCTACATATTGCTCATTTGGTTGCATCAGTCTCCCTTCAGTCTGCCTTAGCTGGCAATATGGATTTAATCTTCAGCTGTGTCTTAATTATCTGTTGTGCAAGTATTAGAGCAGAATTTGGTTTGTATTCAACATAAAACATTGTAGGTTATTCAGCAATGGATACAGCAATTTACAAATACTGGGAAAAATACGTTGCAATATGGTTTTCATGTAATTCACTCTTTTAATGCTGCTGTATGTGAATGAAGTGTGAGTTCCAGGCAAGATTCTAGAAAGCAGCTGGTAAAGATGGTAGAGAGATGTAGAAATTGCATTTAAGAGGGCATGTTGAATATTATCAAAGCTAAGGATTACTTAGAGGAAGATTACTTTTATACTGAAAACTTGAGTTACGGGTCAGTTCTGTTAGCTGAAAGCTTCCATAATATACCTTGTATTAGAGTATTTTAATAGTGATTTTTTTTTTTCCCAAAATGCAATTTCAAAGCAGTTTTGAAACTATTTACTAAAAAATAAGCAGGATTTGTGTGCTGAAAAGCTATTTTATTTCAAATTTTTCTGTAAAGACGGTTTTGACCCTCCATGCAGGTCAGTTTCTCTTTGAAATGGAGTACATATTTAAATCTTTCTTGAGTTTTCTCTTCAGATCTATTTATGCCACTCTGTCAAAAAAAATCAAGCTCAGTTTTTTGTTTGTTTGTTTTGTTTTGTTTTGTTTTGTTTTGTTTTGTTTTGTTTTGTTTTGTTTTCAAGGAAAACTGTTCATCTTAAACTCATTTTGTTCCAAGTCTGAAAATTCAGGTTAATGTATTTGTGCTTTAGCAGAATGTTAGCTCAAATAATGAGTTTTTTTCTGCAAAACCTGATGCTGAAACAAGTCTTTACTGTAGTTGTGATGGTTTAAACAATACTCCCCTGCCTCATCTTCTAGAAGCAGTGATTACGTCATTATGGAAGTTGTATCCATATGAACCAATGACTTCTTGCTTCCTAACAATTCTTCCTTTCTCAGACCCCATGCAGCAGTTGCATTTACTCTGAGATCGTCTGTGATTAACAACTTAAAACATGTTGTAAACTTGTTTTTGTCTTTGAAGATTGTTGCTATTATTTCAGCCCAGAGAAAGGCTTCTTGTACTTGAAGGCCTGCCTGTCTTTTTCCAGCTCTATATTTCTTCTAAAAAAGGGAGTACCTCTCTCTGCAATCCTTGCTGCATTTAAAGTTCAGAAATGGATAGGATGCAACCTGGCAAATACTAAATTATATTTCCTATTAAGTTGACATACTTTTAAAATTGTATATGCTGAAGAGGAAAAAAATTTAATTATGAAGTAGTAAGATCAATATTCAGGATGTGTACATGTCTCCTGACTTTAAAATCTGGAAGACCTTCCAGAGATTATCAGAATAGCTGTCTTCAGCATATTTCCAGAAAAAATATTTAATTACTTCCTTGAAAGGCAAACTGACCAGCATAGCCCATAAAGGCTACACTTCGCACTATAGTCACCTCTGCAGTGATTTTCATCCCAAGGGTATGCACAGTTCTGAATGCCATTGCAGACTAAAGAATTATTGATGCACATGTTGCTATGGCAGAAGTAAGTGTTGCCTGAGCAGGGAGCTGCAGGAGAGAAGAGAGAAAATATTAGGATTTTTCAGTAATTGATGCATTGCAGTAAAACTAGTAGATTGCTGTTATTTTTTAAACATGCATTTTAAACACGCATTCTTATTTTTTGTTTCAAATACGAATCACTTTTCTTGCACATCACTAATTATCAGATGATTTACCTCTCTTCATGTGGCTGCTTTCAGGTGTATTACCAATGCTACAGAAAAATTCTTGCTCAAAATATGTATCGGTCACACAAGGCAGATAATGGAAGAAGGCTTTTAATACTTGTCTTTAAAAATTTAATACTTAAAAATCGCATGCTTACTGTCAATTATATATTTATTTGGTCCGCTGTGCATCTGTTATGTAGATGTTATGAAGCAGATTCTGAACATCTGCATTTTAAAGCCCATTAATATCTTAAGGCAAATCAGATTTCAGCTTGTGGAGGGCTGTTTCAGTAATTGCAAGAGATCTCAGTAACTTGAGGCATCCAAGTCATCCCTGCTTATGAATCAAAGCTCTTATATCCTCCTATTACAGCTAATGCAGGGATTGAGAGGGTACAGTTTAGCTTTTCATCTATCTGTCTATATATAGTTAGAAATTTGAAGGAATAAATTAACTAGAAAGTTGCCCTGAAGATTTTGTTTCCATAAATGTTTATCTCCTTGACATTAGAAAAATATATTTTAAAAAAGTGATAATTCTTTTCAGGATGTTGTATAATATACATAGGGAATGAATTCAGGACACTGGACAAGAAATGGATTTTTCCCTTCCTCTGTCTAATTATTGTGGTATTTTTATGATGGAAATGTGTATTATTAGTGGAGTCAGTTATATATTAAACAGCAAAGATGTGTGATAGACATTTTACTATTTGATTTCATAGAAAGAATTTTATTTATTAATATTTTTTGTTATTGAAGGCCAACCAGCTGGAAAGCAGTTCTGTAGAGAAACACTTGAAAATACTGGTAGAGAAAAAGTGGAACACAGGCAGTGATGTACCCTTGTAGCAAAAAAAAAAAAAAAAAAGCCAGCAGCATCCTGAGCTGCTTTAGAAATGGCATTGCCACCAAGTCAAGGGAAGTGATGCCTCCCCTCTGCTCAGCACTTGCCAAACCACATCTGAAGTACTATGCTGTGTCGGTGTCACCAGTACAAGAGAGATATGGAGGGATCCAGGGATACAGCATGGAGATAAGGACTTGGAGCATCTGACATGACTGGTGTGGGTTGTTCTGAGTGGCTGTGGAACGTCCTTGGAGACGTTCAGCAGCTGACTGCATATGGTCCTGGGAAACCTGCTCTCCTTGATCCTCTCTAACCAGAGAGACTTCCTAGCTAGGCTTCTAAATCAACAACTTTTTTTCAAGAATGTCTTATGCCTGATTTGTTTCAAGGGCCAAACCATTTTTCAGTGGGACATAATTTGGTGAAAAGTGATTGGGTGTGGTTTTCTTCAGTTCAGCCATGCAACTACCTGATATCAAACAGTTTCCTAGGTTCAGACTTAACTATGTCTTCAACTGTTTCACCAACTGCTACTGTTTATGAAAGAAAATAGAGAGTAACCTGGTTGTTTTTTGTCAGTGTGCCATACTATGACCTGCAATGTATCAAGAGTGGATGCTAAGGCCATTCATATCGTTCATGGTTGAAGGCACAATGTAAGTGTTATTCTCTACGCACTGTATGAAATCGTGATACATTGTCCAAAATTAGGCTGCAATTAAATTCCAAAGGGATTCACACCTTCTCCCTGAAGGACTAAAAGATAATAGGCAAAAACTTACACAAGAGTCTCCATCTAAATATGAAAACAAGTATCTCAGACAACCTAAAGCACTTAATAGAAACAGGAAGATGTAGTCAACATTTCTACCCATTATACACACATAATGGGAGAAAGACTATTAGCTAGAAATGATCAGGATGCACACTACAAAACAAAAGCTCTTGGCCTTATTAGCACATGTGGGCAGAAAATGGGGGTAGTTTTTTCCTTCTGAATTTGGGAAGAAAGATTGTGCAAGCTTTACTTTATAAAGGACAAACAGGATCACTGTTTCAAGGTAATAATTTTAAAAGGCTACAAATGTAATAGGTGACAGTATGTACTGAAATATTTCTGACTGTGAGATAAAGGAGCATTTATGAAATTCATGTCCAGAGTGGCTGTCATGGATCCATGTATATCTGCTGGCATTTCAATATGGTTCTGTTTGGAGGCACAGAGGAATAATTATGATGTAAGACACATTCCCTTTCTTATTTCCCTGAACAGGGGATTTTTTTTCCATCTTTCTGTCATTTTGGATGGTGCATTCTGCTGCTGCTTCTCCATCTGCCAGTACAACATCTATTTTACATTCCTGTGTAATCTCTTTAACATTTTTTCAGGATGGCTTTTGTTCACAAGTTCATAAAGACAGGACCAATAGACTTCATTTTCCTTTTGTTTGTTATTTGGGCAGTACTAAGTCTAAAAGTCACCATGATTGATCAGTTCCAGTCCAGGACTTCAAGGACATTGCTAGACTCTTCTCATAACAGCTGTGTAAGACAGGTGAAATATTTACAGTGTTCTTTGTATCTAGCATTATTCATGTATTGAACCAAGCCAGAAATCAAATACATTGATTTTTAACATTGCTGTTAGCTGAATTACTTAGTGAAATCTGCAAGCAGCACTAGGTGTGTGTTAGGTGACTGTCATGCACAATTAGTTAATTTATGTAAATCTTTTCAGAAATACTGTTTTCATGGTTGGCTTCACATAATTACAAATCATTAGTAAGGTAGAAGAGAAAAACAGCTTAACTATCTCAAAATAAGATAAGCATGGATTAATTTTCTTCAGTTAGAAAAATTTCTTATCACTAGATTATTTAAAAATACACAGACATTTCTCAGACACATACTTTTCAATTACTCTATCCAAGAAAGACAGTATTTCGACTTAGAAGACAAATAAGAATAACCACCTACTTTGCAGATATTCTGCTAATGACTTGTGCTTTGTTCAAAATCGCAAGTTTGGAAAGTTATCTAGCTTTAGGAATAGTTACTGTTCTAACCTCTTGCACTCCAAAAAAAAAAAACCAAAACAAAACACCAAAAAACCAAAAAACCACTCCAGTATTTATAACATAAATAGCTCATTTCCCTGGCAAAGTTGATAGCATTTTATAGAATGAAAGCTGGAAACACTTGCACTATTACTAATATTATTAACTGTATTGAAATAAAAGCTACTGGAAAAGTAGTTATCAATTTTGCAAGTTGTGCTTAAAACTGACATTTACTGAAATTCACAATATCTAAAGTTTACTAAATGCCTACTGTAGGTTAAATAACAGACTAATTTGAAACATGCAGTTGTTTATTGCTACCATGTATGTAAAGTAACCAAAAAGCAACTTCTCTTCCCAGTCTTTGTTACTTTAGAAAGATTGTTTTACAGAAAGTGACTTTTCTCCTGTGTTGAACTTTACAGTTTTATGGAACAGAGTATAAAAATCTACTTGTCACCTGAACTTTTTTGCAAAGTGGTTACCGGCATCCCTTTCAAGACTGGCAAGAGAGCTGTTAGTTCTGTTAAAGTTATTTCCTTGATGGCAAATCTTATTCTTCAAGCAGAACTTTTTGAAAACCTTAAGTAAAGTACAAGCATAGGTCTGATTTCCTGAAGTGGCAGGTATGTTTTATTCAGTTCTGTCCATGTATCTCAGATCTGCTCTGCTGTTCTAAACTTAGTCTACTTTAGTCCTGTAGATTTTACTTGTTTTTAGGTTCTGCAATGTAGACAATATCGTCCTTTGTAAATACATAAGGCAACAAAGTTCCATTGAGTTCAGAGAGAAAGCACTTAGGAGAAATCTCACAAAAAGCATACTTTCAAGAACCATCTTAATTTACAATGAGAATATTTCCCCGGCTATGGAAACAAAACAGACATCCAGATTGCATATATAGCTCTGGGTTTAATATACCCTTTGTAAACAAAGTTTGATTTAACTGCTTATCCACAGTCACGCAACACAACTGGGCTTTGCTGAGGGAGAGTCTGTTGGGATCGTTCAGAGCCACGTGCGCCTGAGAAGGAGGTAGCACCTTATGTGTAGTTGGAGTGGGTAAAGTACCGGATCTGAAATTGAAGGTGGAGCTCTAGATAGGAAGAAGATCCAGACTCCACAGGGTCACACATTTTCTAGCCTTCTGAACATCCAGTGTGGGCTTGAGAAGAGCCTGTTGCGGTGTCTGTTGAGGGAACTGGAAGATGGGGACTAGTGGGAGAGCACTCTTCAGTCCCATTGCTGACTTTAAATCTGTGCGCATTTGTAGAAATCACTGTGAGAAGTACGTGGCCTAGGTCTGAATTATTATGGAATTCAAAATAAAATAAATCTCTTAAGAATGGAGGAAAGTCTTTCTTCAGTACCTGTGCTTGTAACTGTCATAAAGCACATATTTAATTTACCTGCTGGTATATGAAGGAAGAAAACAACCTTTGTGTGTTCCTGCTGCATAATATATAGCTGATGGTTTTTCCTAAAATACCTGAAGTACTCTGACACCAGGAGAAGAGGAACTTTAAAATCTACTTACGATCCACAAATGAAGTGAACAGCATTCTGAATCTGCTTAATCTGCTGCCTTCATCTGCCCACATTCGAACCACGCCTGTCCCAGTCTGCAGCGTGACGTCGTTCGCTACGGTGCTGCAAAACTTTGCCTTCAGATTTTCAATAGAACTACTTCCATCATATACAGCGACAAAGTTTCTTTTACATTCATTTGAATGCTCCATTTGATAGTCAAGAAATCGCAAATAAATCTGTAGGAAGAGAGATATTAATGTCTCTAGGAAAAGTAATACAGAGAAGACAGTTTTCTTTCTTAGAAGATCTTGAATAAGGTGTTTTGTCCCCCTGCATGTGTGTAACTCCCAATTCACAACACTTAAATTTATGTTTTCTTATTAAATGTCAGTGAAGAGTATTCGAAACTTCTCTGGAGTACCTGTTTCCCTTCTCCTCCCCTTCCTGAAACAATCTTTACTTAATAATTCACTCTGACATAGTTGTGTTCACCTTGGGGAAAAACGGAAAAAGCAACACATTTGAGGAAAGCTCGAAGCTATTCTGCTAAATGTGCAGTCTGTTAAGGGTAGAAGAGATACAAGAAACACATAAATGCACTGAAATAATGTTAATGGTATTTTGACTGTTCTCTTGTTTCTTTTTAATTAATCAAAACAATGTGAAAATATAAAGCAGGGCATTGAGTCAAAAAAAGTAGTGAAAATAAGGAAATTAAAATGTCTTCCTTCAGAATAAAGCTATTCAAAGCAGGAGAAAAGTAAGCTGGCTATCTAGGAAGATTAATAAATTTAACCCAATCCTAATTCCTCTGAAACCAGAAATCTAATCCAAAGGCAGCATATATGTTAAAACATATGCATCAAGGGAATTAAAAGACCGAGATGGGGTTTGAAAAGTAAGCAAATAATTTATTTTGCTGGAGAAGGAAACATGTAAGATTGTAGTTCAGTTAGAATTACATGAAAAGATCATAGCACTTTTTAGTATCTTGAATGATTGTATTGGAATTCTCAAAATTCTAATGTGTTGATCAGGTATGTATCTAAATCACCTAAGAATGCCACAAAGTTCACCTTTAAACTTCAAAAATTCTTTAGATAGCCATTATTTTGACAGAGGTCTCTCCATGTGGAAGCTGAGGTCTCCCCTAGGGGAGAAGAGGTGGCCCATCCTCTATGACAGTGTGTTCCTCAGATGAGCTTGGGTCTAGACTATATGTGTTTTGAGTACAGTTTACAGCTATGTCTCTGGCTGATACTATGGATGCTAAAGACCTTTTGCACAGTGCAGTTCTTCACGCATCTGCCTAATGGTAAGAATCTTACACTCGTTTAGTTTGTGCAGCAGGGAAGGCAGGGCAGATGTATACCATGCTTACTACTACTACATTACCTATTTTTTCTGCCCTTTTGCCGTATCTTGCTTTAAAATCTGTTAGTGCCAAAGCCTTTTCAGACTGCACTGGAAAGAATTCAGTAAATCAAAACTAACCACCGTTGTGGGGGGAAAAGAACCATTTACATACATACATTTGACAGGCTCTATTGAAAACTTGGTAAAAGGCAGGCAAAGTGTGTGACACTTGCACACCCTGGCTCTTCCTTTCCAGCATTTTCCAGAGGCACATTGCCAGTGCTATCTTCCATTGTGTATTCTGTGAAAAGGTGCAACCTGTGCCATATCTCATGCTTCATCTCACTGTTTTGTGATTTTCAGTATATATACTTTGTGAACTTTTTTTTTTTCTTTTCTTCCTACTGTCATTCTTAGATTTACTGCTGGAAATTCTCAGCTACATCAAGAGCCTGTCTCCCATAGACATTTCACAAACATGGGTGTGAGCTGTAAGTGCAGTATTTTGGCTGAGAGATGGTATTTTCATTTAATGATTTGCTTTATATATGTGCTGTGAAATTATAATGGAAGCTAAAAATAAATGAGCATACTTCTAGTGGAGCTATTCTGTGAATGAAACCAAAGGAATAATTCCATTAAAAGAGCTCAGCTCTGCAAAAGCTCCTTCTGGTTAGTGCTAGGCAAGTAAATGTAAAAGGTCCTCACTCTTCAATTATTTTGATTATTCTAGTAATTTTCTGAAATCTGGAGGTAATTTATTAAATATCCACTATGCAGATTTTAAAAGTCCTTTCAGTGCAATAGTTGTGTCTGTTTTAAGAATTCACTTTTATTACAAAATCAAGTTGAGGAAATTAAAAATGTATACGCTTATGTTTCTCCAGAGACTGCACCATATCAGATCTAATGGATTTTATCATTATAGTTCTGCCAGAATTGAAGCTTGAGAAACCACTGTCAGAATACTAAGAATTATTTTTCTGTAATGTTTTAACTCAATAATTTAGGATGATGATCTAATCTCAGGTCTGACCCAACTATAACTCTGCCTTCTGGCAACATCCAATAATTCATTAAAATACTTAAGCGTAAGACCTGGTGCACTCAAGTGGCAATGTAGAAAGAAAATGGTTTTATTATTGTTTCTGGAAGAACTGCTACTATTACTTAGATTAGTATAGGGCTCTCGGGACTTGAGTCACTTCCTCAAAGGCTCAAATATATTAATGGAGTTTAAGTTTCTTTTCTTGTATGCTGGTTACCATCTTTTAGGTTGCTGGTTTAGAACTTATTTGGAAGCTGGTTTAGTTAACTGTTAGAAGTGTGTAAGAAGGCATAGGGTAGATTTGTCATCTTGGCAGCTGCTGCTTTAAAAATACATTTTACGTATGTGCAAGCAGTACTAAGTGCTTTACTGTACGTAGAGAAGCAAATTTACAGATGTGTGTGCTACATGGAGAAAAAATATTTTTCAATGCAACTTTTAAGTAATTACATAGCTGTTGCTTTTTTTTTTTTTTTTTTAAAACAGCCTACAGCTATTGTATTTTGGAATTATGAATAGGATTTTATCCTTCTTTCTATCCAACAATAAAGCTCATGGTTTTGTTTTTTGTTGGTTTTTTTAATGAGCAGAAGATAGCAGTTTCTAGTTATGCTGGCACAATAAATATAGGCAGCTAACACTGATTTTTGGCTGGAGTAGCTAATAAGTCTCAGTAGAGTTTGGGCAGAAAAGCTCTAGCAAATTTTTTGTGGTACTTTAAGAGGGTGTGATCCTGTAACTAAGTGAGAAAAACAATGAGTGATAATTTCTCAGCTGTTTCCAGGTAGAAACTTTTACTTTAGCTCAGACTGCTGCTGAAAGTCAGTGTTAAGGTCCTGGATTGTGAATTATACTGAGGAGGAGCAGGTATGTGTTCTGTCGACTTTGAACAGAACCAAATTCTCCAACAGAACCACTCGAGGCAAAATTTTAAACCACGGCTGCAAAATTTAGTGGCATTTATCAAAGCTGTTAGTGAGCATTTTTGCCTGTGGTCTTCTGATGAAACCAAAGTCTGAGTCAAATGCCCTTGAAAATTATTGCTTAAACAGTTTTCACAGTTATTTTGTATTTTAAGTTTCAAATAAGAGGAAGACAACACTGTGGACTTAATATATAAAACTAATTTCAGAAACTGGCTTCTATGTGGGTTTCCTAAGCCACTGATATATAATTCATTTCAGTGAAAGTGAGACATTATGCAGATCACAGCTAGTGACTATTACCTGTTAATAATGACTTTGAAACCCATTATATGCTGAATAATGTGAATGAAACCCACCTTAGCATTTGGAGTAGCTTTAATTGTCCATATGCAGTCAACTGCTTGTCCTGGTTTTGTTTTTCCTTCTTGTTCTACTTGACTGGAACGTACTATTCCATCAGCTCCTGAGAGCTCAAACTGGCAGTCTAGGGAGAAAATATGCCTTGCTGTCAAATGCAATATGATATTAATTTAAAATTTCATGTATAAAGAAATTGTTACTGTAATACTAGACCTGGGATGGGATTTAAAATACCTCCTAGGTAAGTGAAGTCAGGATCTGTAATAGAAAGAAGTCATGAATCACAGGGGCTATCAGAGCTTGAGAATCCCTTCAAGGTTTAGTATAATCTGAAGATTATGTCCATTTTTCATTATGTCACAATAAAAATTGCCAGAAAGTTTACTCAATCAGTTGGAGGATACAGAGACAAAATTGCTTTAAATGATAACATTATTCCACAAAGATTGACCTTATCTGAATAAAGTAATTCTATACTGACAGCTCAGATTTCTAGCATAATACCAAAAATTACTATTCAGTATTTTATTCCTATGTTACATTTCTGAACTATGCCAGTTTTCACTGAAATCATTGGAGCTCCTCAAGAGTACAGGGGATCTTTCAGGGTCCATCATCTTTACCATATTTCTGTGTGCCTAGTTCTGAACAACTTGAACTGGAGTAGCTTAGTAGAATATATAAACACTTTGAAACTGCTATTAATAAAGAATGTAAAGGACTAAAGATACTTTCTCCTTGGGGCCCATGCCTCTTCTGTGAGTCCTGGTAGCACAGTTCTAGATGTTTATGAAGACAGAATTTCACCTTGACTGCTTCTCTATCTCCTCTCTTCTTAATGCAACGTATAGGTAGTGTACATATCTGTAGTATATACTGTGTATATACTATAGTGAAGTAAGAATATGCTTATTTGTAATGGTTAACTGATGGTATTTTGCTAGGACTAGGGCTTGGCTAAAAATAAGTCTGTAATGGGCTTGGATATCCAAGGCTTACGTTTCAGTGATCAAGTTAGTGGATCCTCACAAATTAGCACAGAAGCTCGAAAGACGTACCCATTCACAGCTGTGGCACAGAAAATCACCACAGAAATCATGCAAATCAAAGTGTGTGTATGTGTTTGAAATGTTAATCTATGCAAAGAAAGCACCAGTTCATGCAAAAGTGCATGTCTGTTTTGTACAACTCTTCTCCAAATGAAAATCCAAATGAAAAAAGAATTTGGCTCCTTTGGTCATGCCCTATCTTTTTTTCTGTACAGGGAGTTTATCTCTTCCCCTAAGATGCTTTAGTCCAGTACAGTTAAGAAAATGTGGGTTTTGCCCTTCTCTGTTTTAGTTACCTACAGCGAAATATGTGGTAATTCTATGACATTTTTAACCTTTGTGAGTGGATTTATTTATTTTTTTTAAATTACGTGGGGGCGTATGTGCAAGTCCTCTTCCATTTTTACAGTCACAGAATATTTCACCATGCTCCGTGTAAACGCAGAGGGAAGAAAAGGAAAGAAAAATATCAGTCCTTCAACTGCTGCAACCTGTTGTGAAAATAATACACATCTTATGTATATTTGAAGTTCCAATCTGGAACTAAGCTAAGTTTGTTTTGAAAGTGTTGTTAATGAAAAGGCTTTGGAAATGGACTTGTACCATACGTATGAAAACATTTTTGCACATCATTTGCAGTGGACTGGTCACCATGTTAACCTGAAGAGTTTCCAAGTCTACATCCCTAGCAAGGTACACAGTTCTATAAGCAGTGACATATAATCATGTATTGTGTTTCCATGTGCTGTAGGGGTAAGGACCAGTTTACTAAAGATGACATTAAAATTATGCTTGTGTATACATTTATAGTAGTGGTAGAGCTGATATTTGTATATTGTCTTTTGTCCCAAAGGACAACAAAATGCTTATAAGTATAGTGTGTGTGTGTGTAAATATATATA